ACAGTGCGGCACTCCCTCAGTACTGACCCTCCGACAGTGCGGCACTCCCTCAGTACTGACCCTCCGACAGTGCGGCACTCCCGCAGTACTGACCCTCTGACAGTGCGGCACTCCCGCAGTACTGACCCTCTGACAGTGCGGCACTCCCGCAGTACTGACCCTCTGACAGTGTGTTACTCCCGCAGTACTGACCCTCCGAAATTGCAGCACTCCCTCAGCGCTTACCATCTCCCAGTGTGGCACTCCCTCAGTACTGACCCTCTAACAGTGCAGGGCTCCCTCTGTACTGACTGTCTGAAAGTGCAGGGCTTCCTCAGTACTGACCCACTGACAGTGCACTGCTCCCTCAGCGCTAGCCCTCTGACAATGAGACACTGAGTGAGTGCTAACCCTCTGACAGTGTAACACTGCACTGAGAGTGTCAACGTGGTTTATGCACTGATGTCCTCAAAATAAGACTTGAACCGATAAACTTTTGTCCCAGATCAGTGTGTGCACCCCACTGTGCTAAATGAATGTGGAATGATTGGTTTTGGAGGGTTGTGTGTAAAGTGAACCCAGTTTTAATTAAACAATCACTCTATTTTTCTACTTGGAGTGAAAATAAAAATTTCTCATCCTGATTTGGAATCACTATCTTCAAATAACTCTCCTCAAACACACATAATCCAGCCAGTCATGAAGCAGTCTGAGAATTGAATGCCAGATTGAAAATGTCACTGTGTGACAGGATGTGAAGTTGGAGTATTTTCTAGCTTCTACCTGTAAATGAAGTGGATTGCTGTAGACTGCTGATTCAGCATCCATCACTGCCTACAGGATAATATGTAAAATCAAGTTTTCCTGCTGTATTTCTCACCTCTCTCCATGAAGTATATTTGCTGGCATTATAAAATGTCCTGTTAGGTCATGGTGCAGTGGATACAATTCCAAGGCCCTCCATCTGTTTGCACCTCAGGGTCACTCTTAGTACGGAAGTATTGTTGACGAAAGACATGTTATTTGGTGCATTCTCCATGGAAATGCCTTGACCAATCAGAGTCTACTTGCCAACCAATGAGCACTGTCCTCTCACCCATTATGAATGTTGGTTTACCCCATGAATTGACAATCTTGTGAATTGTCCTGATGACTGCAAGTTGAAAAATTTCATCAAAATGTGTCTTTTTCCAGCAATACTCAGGTTCTGAACAACCAAACAACTATTTAGGAGGAGCATGTTCATTTTGATCCTGTTTCCAACTTTTCAGAACTTATCTGTCATTGTATGGTGCCAATCAAGCATATAGATTGAGTTCTGAGGAAGGGGCACCAGACCCGAAACGTTAACTCTGATTTGTTTTCTTCACAGATGCTGCCAGACCTGCTGAGCTTTTCCAGCAACTTCTGTTTTTGTTCCTGATTTACAGCATCCGCAGTTCTCTCGGTTTTTATATAGATTGATTTCTCTGAATTGGAATCCCTACAGTGTAGAAACAGGCCATTCGGCCCATTGAGTCCCCAACGACCCTCCAAAGAGCATCCCACACCAACCCTGTGACCCTGCAATTTTCTATGGCTAATCCACCTAGCCTGCACATCCCTGGACACAAGGGGCAATTTAGCCTGGCCAGTCTACCTAACTGCACATCTTTGGACTGTGGAAGGAAACCAGAGCACCCAGAGGAAACCCACGCAGACACGGGGAGAATGGAGTTGAACCCGGGTCCTGGTGCTGTGAGGCAGCAATGCTAACCACTGAGCCACTGTGCTGCCCATGGCTGACTCTCTGGATTTTGATCTGGATGACAGACTTTGCACACTCTATGGGTTAATTTCAGGAGCAACGGAAGTGTGAACTACCTGCAGGTTCCCTTTCGAGCTACTCACCATCCTGATTATTCAATCACGCGATGATGGCATTGCTGACTAGGCAGCATTTATTGCCCATCTCTAATTTGCCAGGGGGCAGTTAAGAGTCAACTATATTGCTGTGGGCCTGGAGTCACATGCAGGCCAGACCAGGTAAGGATGGCAGTTTCCTTCTCTAAAGGGCATTAATGAACCAGATGGGTTTTTCCAACAATCGACAATGGATTCATGGTCACCATTAGACTGTTATTTCCGATTTTTATTGAACGCAGTTTCTACCATCTGCCGTGGCAGGATTTGAACCTGGGTCCTCAGAACATTACCTGGGTCACTAGATTAACAGTCCAGTGATAATACACTAGGTCATTGCCTCCCCATTTGGAAATATATCACTGTTTATTTCAGTGTCACTGGGCCAAAATCCTGGAGCTCCCTCCCCAACAGCTTCCCCAAGGAAGGTAATGGTTCAACGTGGCATCTCACAGCCACCATTTCAAGGGAAATTGGAGTTGGGTGACAAATGCCAGCCTTGCCAGTGATGCCTACCTGCAGTGAAGGAGTTAATATGTTTGTATTTGTCCAATAAAGGATCTCTCTTGGTTTGTTTTCCCAGGTGTGGTGAGGGCCTGATCTCTGTTTACTTGGCACCATGGTGGCCCTGTCGCTGAAGATTTGTGTCCGCCAGTGCAATGTCGTCAAGACGATGCAGTTCGAGCCCTCCACTGTGGTTTACGATGCCTGTCGTATTATCCGAGAGCGCGTGCCTGAGGCTCAAATTGGCCAAGGTGAGACTGCGTGTCCTGATTGTTTATTCTGCCGCAGTTTCTCTGCTCGGCTTTCGTCCCAGTGGCACCCGTTATCACTCAATCCATACGCAATAAAGAGATGTAAGCACGGATCGTCCCAGTGCAGAAGTGAATGTATTGGTTATCCATCGGTGTAACATCTGCTTGGATTTATACATTGACCATTCATGTTGTAAAATGTACCCAAGGTACATCACAGGCCAGGCATGGAGCATTGTGTCAGGTTAAGGCAGGATAGAAGTTGTTTTTTTACTGAGGTGGAGAGGGAAGCCGAGTGGTCGACGGAGGGAATTCCAGGACTTTGGGCCTCAGCTGAGGTACAGCCAGAATTTGAAGCATTGTGGAGATCGCGGTGGGTTGTGGGTTGGGGATCAGGGTGGTTGTGGACTGCAGGTAATTCTAGAGAGTGTGTGATGTCCTGCAACAATTCCAAGACAAGGATGAGAATTGTCACATTGAGGTGTTGCTGGTCTGGAACTGATGGAGATCGTTTCCTGAGAGATGGTACAAACTGAGACAGGTAGCTTTGAGTGAATCCGCTGCTGTGGACCTGCTTAGCTTAAGAGAGCATTATTCATTTATAGATCAGGGTAAATGAATGTAAATATAACATAGAATCATTGAATGATAGAATCTGTACTGTGTGGAAGCAGGCCATTTGGCCCATACCAGCCATCCAAAAGTGCATCACATCCAGACTCACTCCATTCCTGTAATCCCACATTCCCCCATGGCTAACCCACCCAGCCTACACATCCCTGGACGCTATGGGCAGTTTAGCATTGCCAATCCACTTAACCTGACAATCTTTACATTGTGGGAGGAAACTGGAGCACCCGGAGGAAACCCACACAGACCCGGGGAGAATGTGCAACTCCACGCAGATAGTTGCCCAAAGGTGAAATCGAACCCAGGTTCCTGGCGCTGTGAGGCAGCAGTGCTAACCACTGAGCCACCATGCTGCCCCATAGAAATAAAAGGGGGAATAAGTTGGACTGGTGTATGAAAGAGCTGTTAGACTGTAGGTAATAAACTCTCTATTTGCAAGGAAAAGCATCTTAGTTTCTAACTCGTAGACTGGCTTGTCCAAGCTGACAGCTTTAATCTGTCTTTTGTTCAAGGAGGATTTCTAGATCATGGCCCGGTCTTAAAATGGTCCTTCCACTTGATGTGGGGGAGCGTGGTTAATCCTGGCTCCAAATGACCAAAGGACCAGCAAAGCGGAGACAACCCTCGAACTAAATTTCCACCTCCGTAAACATGGCCTTATGGCATTCAGGGCCAGAAGCAGTGAGGGCCTTAGGAGGAGAAGGGCAGTGGCAGACCAGGACTGTGGGTGGGAGGAGAATGGGGAGAAGACGTCAAGGGAAGACGGGATTTGGGAGAAAAGGAGTGGGCAGGTGTCAGAGGAGAAGTGAGCAGAGAAGGAGAGGGGAAAGACCAATTGAGGAGTGGGCATGGGAGACATGATGGGAAGGTGGGGAGGAGAGGGGAGCTAGACTGACTGTCTGTTCTGAGCCATACTTTGGAACAGACGCCAGGATAATCGGAGAAATGGTACAAATGCAAAGATTGTGCTTTTTTAGATTTCACGTTTTTTGCTTTTGAATGAGCTGTCGTTTTTGGATACAAATGCAAACTGATCCATCACACAGCTATTTTTTGAGGTCTTGTTTGCTTCTGTTTTACAGCCTCTGATTATGGATTGTTCCTGTCTGATGATGATCCAAGGAAAGGGATCTGGCTCGAAGCTGGCCGCACTCTGGATTATTACATGCTTCGGAATGGGGTCTGTCTAACCTTCTTCTCAGCTTTAAGAAATAATAAGATTGTCAGTCAGGATCACAGTCTGAAACACTTGTATGTACCAGAAACTGCATATAATAACACACTGGGCACTGTTCTTTGCAGCCAGAAAGAATGTGTACACAGACCGCATCTAATCCATTTCAGGGCAATGCCTTGACTGATCGAAGTCAACCCACCTTGTTTAAAATTTAAACAGAGCATGGCAGTTAACTGTCAGTCATAACTAGCTGCTTCATTCTTCATGACAACCAAAACAAAATCAGCAGTCTGCACTCAAAAAGTATTGCTTTCCCCTTGAATTGGTATTTCTTGCGAATTGTTCTGATGGGTGAAAGACAGTACAGTTTGACAGAATGTGTCTTGTTTTTTGGCAGCACTGTAGGCAGCTGTTGATGAAGAGCTGTAAATAAATCCCAGTCACCCTCCTCATATATTCTGCCTCTTGAATTTTTACTATCGTTTTCATAGTGTAACAAGGGTTAGACTGTTTGGTCAAGTTGAGTAGGATTGGGAAGAGTCCAACTTTATGGATCAGGTTTGAGAGTTACATCACAGCAAAAATGGTGAGAGCACATCACACAGATCTTCACAGTCATTTCTGTGTGAAGCTTCACTTGATATTGATGGCCAATGCATTTCATTAGAATTTCCTTGTGCTTCTAGTCTCCCATTCATAGAATCATACATTTGGCACGAGGCCATCTGGCCCATCATGCTGGTGATAGCTCTTTGGAACAGGCATCAAATTAGTCTCCCTTCCTTGCTCTTTCCCCACAGCCCTTCACTTTCTTTTTCCCTCTGGAAGTGTTTGTTCAATTCCCTTTTGTTGAATCTGCTTCCACCTTTCGCCCAGAGGGAAGGTAACAGATCACAACTCATTCAGAAATTTTATTGCCTCACGATGGCAATTTGCAACTGAGCGAACATCGTGGACCCAGAACGCGTCTCATTGACCCAATAAAAGCAAAATATTCATATTCCTAACAGTTGGTCAAACTTTGGTTCAAACACTCCCCATGGCATTGGCTAAGTGCCTGTAAATGTTTCTGGTTGGCCGAGGGGAGAGCTGCCAAATGCTATGAGTCACGCTGTGGAGTCCTGCCCAGAGATTTTACAAACTTTCCACTGGTTTCTTTTTGTAATTCAATCCTGATTGTAGTTTAATGAAAAACAATTCCTTTCCGATAGTGAACATGTGTGAGCCGGTGGCTTAGTGGTAATATCACTGAACGAATAATAATCCAAGTGATGTTCAGGTTCAGATCCCACCTTGGCAGATGGTCACATTCAAGTTCAGTGTAAATCTGCAATAGAAAGCTTATTTAATGATGACCATGTAAACACTGACGATTGCTGTAAAACCCCATCAGGTTCACTAGTGTCCTTTAGAGAAGAGAATCTGCCATTCTTACCTGGTCTGGATGACATGACTGAGGTCACGTTGCGGCCATACAGGACATTAGTGAAACCACTTTTGGAATACTGCTTACAATTCTGTTGGGATGTTGTTAAACTTGAGAGGGTGCAGAAAAGATTTACAAGGATGTTGCTGGGATTGGAGGGTTTGAGCTTTAAGGAGAGGCTGGATAGGCTGGGGCTATTTTCCCTGGAACGTCAGAGGCTGAGAGGTGACCTTAGAGAGATTTATAAAATCATGAGGGGCATAGATTGGTTAAACCAAGTCTTTCTCCCCAGCGTAGGGGAGTCCACAACCAGATGGCATTAGTTTAAGGTGAGAGGAGAAAGATATAAAATGGATGTAAGGGGCATCTCTTTCAAACAGAGGGTGGTGCATGTATGGAATGAGCTGCCAGAGGAAGTGGTGGAGGCTGGTACAATTACAACATTTAAAAGGCATCTGGATGGGTACATGAATAGAGGGATATGGGCCAATGCTGGTAAGTGGGACTCAGTCAGGTTGGGATGTATGGTCGGTGTGGATGAGTTGGACCAAAGGGTCTGTTTCCATGTCCGTGACTGTAGACCCACAGCAGTATGATTAGCTCTAAGCTGTCCTCAGGGCAATTAGGGATGGGCACTTAATCCTGGTCTAAGCAGCAATGCCCACGTTCCGTGAACAAATGGGGAAATGAAAAGGATTGAGATGGAAATTTTAAGTGAGGAATGTTGTGGGTGAGACTGCCTCCCTAGTGGGAATGAGTGCATATTAAATGCTGTGTACGGGTGGGTGTCTCTGCTAGAAACTGGGGTGGTGCTTGTGCGGTCGGTGAAGCACATGAAGGAGCAGAAAGCTTTTGTTGAACCTGTTGGGGCTGTTTGCCTAAAGAGCCGAAAAACAACAAAGTTTGGCTTTTGTGAAGAGGAAGAAGGGAACACTCGAGAGACATGCGAATTAGGGCAGTGCTCCCCAGTGTGACTCCAGTTTAAAGACACAGGGGATCCTGGGGGAGAAGGTTGGTTCAGTTCCTCAGTGAATGTTGTGGGGTGGGGTGGGGTGGGGTTGGAGATGTAGTTCACAGCTAACTGCTCACTCAGCATCTCAAACTAATCCCAAACCCCAGAGTCCCACCAAATCTGGGAGTGTTAAAATGGAGTCACAGCAGGGAAAAGTGAAAACTAAGGGAGGGGCGCGGTTCAGCATGGTGAAAATTGTTTGAACTAGAGGGCTTTGTTCTGAAGTTCAAAGGTCTGCCCAAAATGCATGGGGGTTTTGAAGAGTTTGCAAGCACTCTTGCAGCTCCTGACCCCAAAATCTCATGTGTTGAGGCCCCGAACTAGAAAGTTCAGGAAAAGAGGAGAATGTGTTAAGGAATCAATTGAGAAGCAACTTGATTTAATGCAAGAGCCTGTTGATAGCAACTGTTGGATTAAGGGTCACAAGATGGAGACACAGCAGTTACAGAACATAGTGAACAAGGGAGGAGATAGACGCCATGTGGAATGTTAGGTCGAGGGTGACTGACGCTATTAATAGGTGATGTCACATCCGCTGACTGTAACGGAGGAAGAGGGTCCAGAGTGGGGTGGAAATTAGTCACAAACATGGTGTCGACACAAGCTCCAAGTGAACAGTCTGTTCATCAGCAACTGAAGTCTATCTTTCACGTTGATGCAGAGGTTTGACCTTTGATCCAGACTAACTTCAAGCGAAGGATCCAATCCCAGCATGCATAGTTGTGTGTTGCCAAGGAAGTAGGCTGCTGGCCTATTGTTGAATCAGGTTACACAGCTCACAGGCCACAAGGAACGATTGGCTCCTTGGGTCAAGGGCTTGGAATCCGTGGCGTGGGAGGAATTTGACTGACAAATGAAGCAAACCTGCTTCAGAAACTCCACCTGTCGAAACAGCAGGAATGCCATTAGTGAGTTCAAAGTTATCATTCCATGCCTTCTCATTCCACTGTATCAGATGTCTCACTATGAAGGTTAGTGCTTGTGTTGGCCATTTATGTTCTCTCATTAATCCCATGATTAATGTTTGTTAAAGTCTTTCTTTCAGGTTAAGAAACAGGTGTTGGTTATAAAATGACAAACACAGTACTGGAGATGGGGGTGGGGGGGCGCAGTACTGGAAAGAGCTATAAGATTGAGGAGTCAATAAACTTCACCTATGCGGGAAGGTGTCTTATCTTCCTGTCTCACTAGCTTCCTTGGATGCAGGCTGACAATTTAGGTCAATGTCCGTGTGGCCATTTACTAAGACCACCTTCCCAATACCGCTGGGCTGCAGTTGTTTGTTTCTGAGCTAGTGATCTAGAGCTAACAATCTAGGGACATGAGTTCAAATCCCAGCACACAGCTGATGTCAGTTTAAGTCTGAAATAAACTTACCAGAATAATATGCAGCTATGTGTTTCAGACTCTTTAAATTTCTGTTATAATTGGATTTGTTTTATCTTCATTTCTTTTGAGAATTAAATTCCTCTTTTATTGTTAGAACTGAAACTGCAGTTTTGTGTGTTTGTATTTGAGTGAGATTTGAATTCTGTAAAACAGAAAAAAGTTCAACCAAGCCGGATTTCAACCTGGGATCTGGTTTGCTGTATAGTAACGTCAGTGAGAATCAGTACAAATGCTATAATGAAGAGTTAGATGGGTTATCTGTGTGGGTGTATGCCCAGAAATTAAACTGGGCCTGTAGCACAGGCTGTAATGTTAGCCTGAAATTCATACTGGGTGAAACAATGGGGAACTTTCTCACTTGGACATTGAACTGGTTCATGTACTTGCTTGAGTTAGAGGAACAAGATTCAGGCCCTATCAATACTTTATAGGACTATTTTAGCTTTTATTTGTTGGTGGGACATGGGTGGAGCTGACAAGGAGAGCATTTACTTTAAAGTGAGCAACTTGTTAGGTCCATTCAGCGGGCAGTTTTGAGTCAACCACATCGCTGTGGATCTGGAGTCACATGTAGACCAGACCAGGTAAGGCTGACAGTTTTCCTTCCCTAAAGAACCAAATGGGTTTTACAACAGTTGAACATGGTCACCATTTGATTAACTTTCTATTCCGAATTTTTAATAAATTCCAAATTTCGCAATCTGCCCTGGTGGGATTTGAACCCTGGTCCTCGGGATAAGGGCCTGGGGTTCGGAAATGCTAGTCCACTGACACACCTCTACTCAACCACTTTCCTGGGCTTTGTGACCGAACTTGTCTTGTGTGTTCTCCTGCCTAGGACATCCTGGAGTATAAGAAAAAGCAGAGACCTCAGAAAGTGAGAATGCTGGATGGGGCAGTGAAGACGGTCATGATTGATGATTCCAAGACCGTTGGTGAACTACTCGTCCCCATTTGCAGTCGAATAGGTTTGTAATTCTCCGTGTCGTTTTGACCAGTTTTAAATGGCCTGGTGGAGTGGCCTACCTGTTGCTTTCTTTACCACAGAAGGCTGTGGAGGCCAAGTCATTGAATCATGCAGCACGGAAACACACCCTTCGGTCTAACTCGTTCACGTTTCCCAAACTAAACCAGTCCCACTTGCCTGCGTTTGGCCCATATCAAGTCACTGAATATATTTAAGAAAGAATTAGATAGAAGCTAAAAGGTTTCAAGGGCTTATGGGGAGAGAGCGAGAGTCCGCATTGAGAACAGGGGCCATCTATGATCATGTTGGTGGAGTGGGCATGACACAACGGGCCGGGAGTGGATTGCGTTTTCATTTTACATGTTTTGTGGGACTGAGAATTTACAAATGTGGAGTCCTCGTTTTTAACACACTGCTTTTGAGTCATAGAGTCACACAGCACGGGAACAGACAGTTCGGTCCAACCAGTCCATGCCGACTGTGTTCCCAAACTAAGCTAGTCCCATCTACCTGCACTTGGCCCATATCCCTCCAAATCTTTCCTATTCATGTACTTATCCAAATTCTTTTAAATGTTGCACATGTACCCACATCCTCCACTCTCTTTCTAACAGATGTTGTCCCTTTTTCAGTTTTTCTTCTCTCACTTTAAAATTAAGCCGCCTACTTTTGAACCCTTCCACCTTCGGGAAAAGACTTTGGTTATTCACCTTATCTATGCCCCTCATGATTTTATAAACCCTTATAAGGTCACCCCACAGCCTCCTAACCTCCAGTGAATAAAGTCCCAGCCCATTCATCCTCACCTTCCACTCCCAGCGACATCCTGGTAAATCTTTTCTGAACCCTCTCCAGTTTAAAAATGCCCTTTCTACAACAAGCACTGAACACACGATATCTCAGGTTGTCAGTCACAGTTTGATATTCAGAGGGTTGGCAAGACGAGTGAAAAGCAGAGGCTAGGAACTGGTCTGAACCAGAAGCAACTGGAAACAGCTGGAAGTGGGTGTGGGGAGTGAGGGAAGAGGGCTCAGCTCTGAAGCCTCCCTCTGAAAATCCCAGAGGCCTTCCGTCTAGCTGATCTTGTGCTTCATCTCCACAGACTCTGAATGATAGTTGTCATTCCCCTTTTGCTGGGTACTCAAATCCTTTTCGGACAGTTCTTTTGCTCAGCCAGCTCGCTGAAGAATCCAGCCGCTGGAAGGCTCCCTCCCCCTCCAAGCTAATCCTTTATTGGTCATTTTCTAACCAGCATGATTTTAACGCCAACATTAGGCCATTCAGATTTAAATGAGAAAGCTCTACATTTATTCAGCAACTTTCACATCCTCAGGATTTCCTAAAGCATCTTAGAACTGACAAAATACTTTGTTGAAGAGTCATCACTGCTGTTATATGGGAAAGTACGGCAACAGATTTGGTCACAGCAAGCTCCCACAAACAGCAGCGTGATAATGATCAAACAATCTGTTCCAAGTCTATGTCGCGGGATGTGTATTGAAACAGAAAATAGAATGAATGGCTTTCTCAGTTCCGATTGTGCCCACTTTTGGTCTCCTTACTTGAGAAACGATGTAATTGGCACTGGAGGGGGTGCAGAGGATGTTCACTAGGTTGATTCCAGGGTTGAGAATGTTGGCTTATGAGGGGAGATTGAGTAGACTGGGACACTGCTCATTGGAATTTAGAAAAATGAGGCAGGACCTTATAAAATTGTGATGGGGATAGATAAGGTAGAAGCAGGGAGGTTATTTCCACTGGCAGGTGAAACTAGAACTAGGGGGCATAGCTTCAAAATAATGGGGAGCAGGTTTAGGACTGAGTTGAGGAAGAACATCTTTACCCAAAGGGTTGTAGAATTCCCTGCCCAGTGAAGCAGCTGAGGATACCTCTTTGAATGTTTTTAAGGCAAAGATGGATAGATTTTTGAACAGTAAAAGAATTAAGTGTTATGGTGAGCGGGCGGGTAAGTGGAGCTGAGTCCGCGAAAACATCAGCCATGATCTTATTGAATGGTGGAGCAGGCTCGATGAGCCAGATGGCCAACTCCTGCTCCTGTTTCTTATGTTGTTATGTTCACTCCACCAACACAACCATGGCTGATCCTAATGTCATACTCCCGTGCTCTCCCCATATCCCTTAACACCTTCAGCTTCCAGAAAACAGTCCAATCCTTTCCTAAATATATTCGGTGACTTGACCTCCACAGCCTTCTATGGTTGAGAATTCCACAGGTTGACCACCCTCTGAGCAGATGTCTCCTCATCTCAGTCTGGAATGGCTCATTGCATATCCTGAGGCCATGACCCTTTGTTGTGGACCCCAAAACCAAGGAAACATCCTCCCTCCATCCAGTTTGTCTAGCCCCTGTCAGAATCTGACATGTTTCAGCGAGATCCCTCCCTCATCCTTCTAAACTCAGGAACGTACAGGCCCAGTCATCCAACTCCTCCTCATCTAACAAAACTGCCCTCCCAGCAACCAGTCCGGTGAACTTTCACTCCCTCGATGGCAAGTCCTGGTTCCTGTGGTAAGATATACAAGGGCAGGACTTACACAGTTAACGGTAGGGCCCTGGGGAGCGTTGTCGAACAGAGAGACCTAGGGATTCTTTGAAAGCTGCGTCACAGGTAGACAGGGTGGTTAAGAAGGCGTTTAGCATGCTTGCCTTCATTGCTCAGACGTTTGAGTATAGGAGTTGGAACGTCATGTTGCGGTTGTACAGGATATTGGTGAGGCCACTTTTGGAGTATAGTTTACAGTTCCTGTTGCCCTGCTCTATATATTATTAAAATGGATGGGGTTCAGAAGAGATTTACCAGGATGTTACTGGGACTGGGGGGCTTTGAGTTACAAAGAGAAGCTGGATAGGCTGGGACTTTTTTCCCTGGAGTATAGGAGGTTGAGGGGTGACCTAATAGAGGTTTATAAAATCATGAGGACCATAGGTAAGGTGAATAGCAAGGGTCTTTTTCCCAGGTAGGAGAGTCCAAAACTAGAGGGCTTAGGTTTAAGGTGAGAGGGGAAAGATTTAAAAGGGACCCGAGGGGCAACCTTTTCACACAGAGGGTGGCTCATATGTGGAATGAACAGCCATATTACAATATTTATAAGACATTTGGACAGGTACTTGGATAGGAAAGGTTCTAAGGGAAATGGGCCAAACGCAGGCAAATGAGACTAGTTTAGTTTGGGAAACCTGTTTGGCGTGGACCACTTGGACCAAAGAGTCTGTTTCTGTGCTGTATGACTCTACGACTCTCATCAAAACTGCACTGAACATTCCAGGTGATTAGCTACGACACTGAGAAGAACTCCCTTGCTATTCATTGAAATATTGGGATCTTTGACCCCCAGCTCAGAGGGTGAACGAATCCTCGGTTTATCATCTCAACCGAAACCTCAACACTGCGGCACTGCCTTCTACCTGGAGTGGGATTTGAGTCAGTCTCTGACTGAGAGATGAGCAAGTTACCCACCGTGCACCACAACTGACACACAAGTGGTCACCCATGGCGCTTGACATTGAGGTCTCAGCATTGCCTTTGGTCAGCAGGGCACCCCCCCCAGCTTCCGACAATCTTTGCCCGGCCCCAGTATACATTGGTCATGTTTCTCTCATTTGCAGGCATCACAAATTATGAAGAGTACTCCTTGATTCAAGACATTGTTGAAGAGAAAAAGGAAGACGGAACAGCGACACTGAAGAGAGACAGAACACTGCACCGGGATGAGAAGAAGATGGAGAAGTTAAAAGCAAAGCTTCACACTGATGATGATTGTAAGGCGTGTTTGTTTAGAATGGAAGGTGGTCAGTGGGTTCTTCAAAAGTGGTGGGTCACTGATGGCATCTCGAATAAATTTGAAGTATCACTGAAAATGCAATAACTTAGGAAATAGTCTCAAAGCTTGTAGAGTTGCTCGCCAAGCCGATGTGTTTGATTGCAGACGTTTCATCACCTTGTGAGGTAACATCACCTCCAGAGACGCACTGACGATGTTACATAGCAGGATGACGAAACGTCTGCAATCAAACACACTGGCTCGGCGAGCAAGTCTACAACCTCATCCACAACCCGAGCTACAAATCTTCTCAAAAACTTTGAAATAGTCTCAAACAAAAAAAAACTTACTCAGATCCCAGAATTCCTTACGATTTCAAAATCTCCATGTTGGTTGAGTTATATTTTCGGAAGGTATTGAATGATTGGGAGTCTCCCAATTCCATTATCTGGGGGGAAGATCAAATTGGACAGGCAAACAGTGTTAGATTTCTTAAAAATGCGAGAAATTGAATAGTGCTTTCAAAGACCTGGCATATGCCCAGCGGGCAGAATGGTCTCTGTGAGAGGTTCTGTGATCTCCTGTCAGCTTCTTGTGAAGTTTCAGGCCTGGTTGAAGGCAATGGACTGGAGATGGTTTTTAATCCTCAAGGGGTTGGCCAAGGGACTTGATAGAGGGGGCAACATGTGAGGATGATGTTGGTTGATTTTTGTGTCTCCGACAGTGAACTGGTTGGATCACAGTCGAACCTTCCGAGAGCAGGGTGTCGACGAAAACGAAACACTGTTGCTAAGACGCAAGTTCTTTTACTCTGACCAGAATGTCGATTCCCGAGATCCAGTGCAGCTGAACCTGCTGTATGTCCAGGTACAGGATTCCTTTCACTCATTCCTTCACTGCATGGGGGCGCAAAGCGTTGAGCTTGATTAGATACCTGATAGTATTTTCACGGCCTTTGAGCTGAATCGCATTGTGGCCATTTTACAGGCGTAAAACAGGCACCTAAGCACATCTTACCAGGACCCTGTGCCAGTTCAGGCTTGAGCCAGTATCTAGGCCGGTTCTGAGGAAGGGTCACCGGACCCGAAATGTTAACTCTGATTTTTTTCTTCACAGATGCTGCTAGACCTGCTGACCTTTTCCAGCAACTTCTGTGTTTGTTCTAGGCCTCTGTCTCTGGGTTCTCCTCGAAGAACTAGAATTCCCATTTCCCACGAGACAAAAAAATTCACACCCTTACCAGTTGCTGTGGGAAAATGATTTTTTTTCACATCACCCTTTTTTCATCGGCACATCACTTTAAACATTTGTCCCTCTCGTTCTTGTTCCTTTTTTGATTGGGAACAGCTTCACCCTCTCTCCTCTATCCAGCCTGATCATGATTTGAAAACCTCTATCAGAAATCCTCCCAGCCTCCTCCTCTCCAAGGAGAACAGTCCCAACTTCTTCAATCGATCCTCATCAGTGAAGTTTCTCATCCCTGGAACCATTCTTGTAAATCACTCCTGCACTCTGTCCAGTGCATTCACATCTTTCCTATAATGACACGCCCACAACTGTGCATAATACTCTAGCTGACACTCTCGCTCCCATTATCAGTCTCACTCTAACTCTCTCACTCACAATCTTTCCCTCTCTAAGTCTCACTCATACTCTTTCTCTCTAACATTCACTCACTCTCTCTTTCGCTCTTTCTCTAATTCGCTCCCTCTCTAATTCGCTCTCTCTAATTCGCTCTCTCTCTCTCTCTAATTTGCTCGTTCTCTAATTCGCTCTCTCTCTCATTCGCACTCGCTCTGTCACTCACTTGCACTCTTTCTCTCCCTCTCTTTCTCTCACTCTCTCTCTCACTCTGTCCCATGCCCTCTCTTTCATGCTCTCTCTCTCACACTCACTCACACTCTGTCACTCTCTCTCACTCCCTCTCTCACTCATGCTTTCTATCTCACACTCTCTCTCTCACTCACTCTTGCTCCGTCTCTCTCTGAATGTGCTTTTATTTCTCTTTAAATAAAGTTGATGCATGTCTGTTGTTTTCTATTTCACTGGCCCTCTGCTGTTTTAAAGGCTCGAGATGATATTCTGAACGGATCCCACCCAGTCTCCTTTGAAAAAGCCTGTGAATTCGGGGGCATTCAGGCTCAAATCCAGTTTGGACCCCACGTGGAACACAAGCACAAGCCTGGATTTCTTGAGTGAGTTTCCACGTTTCGAGATGATGCTGGGTGTGTCAGAGATGTGACCTGTCGGGGGTGGCAGGGCTGTGGGAAGGTAGAGTCAAGTGACAGTATCTAACTCATGGGCAGGGATGGTTTTCACAGGATGTGGACATAGCTGGCTGGGCCAGCATTCAATGCTCGTCCCTAGTTGTCCCCCTGAGAAGGTGGTGGTGAGTTGCCTTTATAAACCACTGAAGTCCGTGTGCTGTGGGTTGACCTGCGATGCCATTAGGGAGGGAATTCCAGGATTTTGACCCAGCGACAGTGAAGGAACGGCGATATATTTCCAAGTCAGGATGGCGAGTGGCTTGGAGGGGAACTTGGAAGTGGTGGTGTTCCCATGTATCTGCTGCCCTTGTCCTTCTATTTGGAAGTGGTTATGGGTTTGGAAGGTTCTGCCTGAGGATCTTTGGTGAGTTTCTGCAGTGCATCTTGTAGATTGTACACACAACTGCTACTGAGCGTCGGTGGTGGAGGGAGTGGATGCTTGTGGATGTAGTGCCAATCAAGCGGGCTGCTTTGCCCTGGATGGTGTCAAGCTTCTTGAGTGTTGTTGGGACTGCACCCATCCAGGATGTGACAGGGAGGTATTTCTGACCTGGGCTATGCGCGACTGGTGATGATCGGCTTTAACTGTCTCTCACACCTTGTCTTCCAGTTTGAAGGAGTTCTTGCCAAAGGAGTACATTAAGCAGAGGAATGCGGAGAAGAAGATCTTTCAGGTACACGTGCAGTTTCACTCTGAACTGCCCTAGCACAGTGTAAAGCATCTCTCTGACCAACTGTCTTTCACACTGGAGCAAGGAGTGAACGAACGCTTGGAGAGGCAGTCACTGAAGGATGGTACTGGAGCCAATCTTTACACAGTCTGCCATTTATTTGCAGATTGAAACATTACAAGCACTCATCTCTGAACGCTATTACCTTGCAGTTTCAGTTGTGGCAGCGTTCCATCTGGTAGGATAATGGTTTACACCATTGAGTCAGCTCCAACTCCCCTGGTATGTGTCAGCAGGTCCATCGGGAAGATGGTAGGCTGGGGAAAAGGGGCCAGGATTCCCTGGCCTCTGTTTGCCCTGGGCTCTCTTCTCCACAGCTGAGCGTTTTGTTTCCCCCTTACTTCCTCCAAAACCCTTTCAGACATTCAGCCTCCAGGGCTTAGGGCCAGCAGTAATGGCCACTCCATTGTTAGAGTCACTGTCCACCATCTTCATCGCTCATTTGTAGGGTGTCCTTGTAGCAGAGGGATGGACTCCCAGAAGGTCATGGCCCACTGGCTAATCACCATCCAGAATGTCTTTGGTCACATGGTCACTATCTCTTTTTCAAACTTTATTCAGTCATGGGATGAGGGCATTGCTAGATAGGCCAGCGTTTATTGTCCACCTCAGAGGGCAGTTGTGCGTCAACCATGTTACTGTGGGTCTGGAGTCACATGTAGGCCAGATCAGGTAAGGATGGCAGTTTCCTTCCCTAAAGGACATTAGTAAAACAGATGGGTTTTTCCGACAATTGATTCATGTCATCATTAGACTCTTAATTTCAGTTCTTTTTAAAAAAAAGAGTTCAAATTTCACCATCTGCTATAGCAGGATTTGAACCTATGTCCCCAGAACATTCCCTCGGTCTCTGGATTAATAGTCTAACAATAATACCACTAGGCCATTGCCTCCCATCCTAAACATGGGTGTGCCAATGCAGATTTTGTGATGTGTGATGGAAGGGGCACATTCTAGGTTCTCTGAATTGGGGAATTTGTCTGGCCAAGAAATGCCAAGGAGTGTCTGTGACAGTGACAGTCTTACACATCGCAATTAATGACCATTTACACGTGTTTAAGTGAAATCTATTCAAGTCCACTATATGGATACAATTAAACACAATTAATATGAAAAAAAATGCTTGAGTGCTTCATCACCAGTTATTCCCTGTAATTCCATTTCCCTGTGCTTTCTGTATCTCAAGAGTTTTCATTATAACTGCATCCCTTGTCCCGCTCCTCATTGGTCACAATGAAGTTTGTGTTTAAACAAGGAGGTGATATTGCTAAATACGTACTTTAAATTTTCTCATGGGATGTGGGTGTCACTGGCTGGCCAGCATTTATTGCCCATCCCTAGTTGCCCTTGAGAAGGTGGTGGTGAGCTGCTTTCTTGAACCACTGCAGTCCATATGCTGTAGGTTGACCCACGATGCCATCAGGGAGGGAATTCTGGGATATTGACCCAGTGGCAGTGAAGGAACTGTATATATTTCCATGTCAGGATGGTGAGTGGCTCGGAGGGAAACTTGCAGGGGGTGGTGTTCCCATGTATCTGCTGCCTTTGTCCTTCTAAGTAGTATTGATTGTCGGTTTGGAAAGTGTGTATATATAAACAATATATCAGACTGTACATAGCTAAACATCAGAAACAATTCACCTAGGTTCTTGAAGTAATAAATAAAGAACAAGTTTATTTTGAACAAAACTGACTCATGTAAAGATAATTAATAAAAGATTTAAACTCTGCTAAATATATGTAGCTATCCTTCTTGAAAGGTAACACACATGACCTTCAAGTCCCTACAGTGCAGGGAAAGGCCATTCAGTCCATCAAGTCTGCACCAACCCTCCAAAGAGGGTCTCACCCAGAGTCAGCTTTCCCCAACCCTATCCCATATTCAACCTAACCTACACATCCCTGGACATTACGGGAAGGGTTTTTAGCATGGCCAATCCACCTAACCTGCAAACGTTTGACTGTGGGAGGAAACCAGAGGAACCCATGCAGATGCAGGGAGAATGTGCAAACTCCCCACAGTCACCTGAGGGTGGAATTGAACCCAGGTCCCTGGTGCTGTGCAGGCAGCAGTGCTAACCACTGAGCCACCGTGCTGTTTAGCAAGACAAAAGAAGTGTAGGGGGTGTGAAATTGTCAGGAAACATGAGCAAGAAGAGCGTTATTATCCAAAGAAGTTAAACAAACATTGCTTTAGCAAATACTTATTTTCTGATTTGTATCCTTTACGCTAGGAACACAAGAACTGCGGGGAAATGACCGAGATTGAAGCAAAAGTTAAATATGTTAAGTTGGCTCGCTCACTCCGAACCTATGGGGTGTCATTCTTTTTGGTGAAGGTAAGAATTTCTCCTGCTTCGCCAGTTTACACATGCTCTCAGTTACCAGCTGGCCCTCAGTTTGTGAAACAATGTGAGCTGTTTTAGTGTGTGTCAAACATTCAGTAAACTTTTAATGACCACACTTGAAACTATTATTCTTGGACTCCGTACTGTCTGCGTTTGTTTGTTGGATAAAGTGACTGAGTTGTTGGGAGCTGAAACAAAAAAGTAATGTCATAGAACACAGCACAGGAAATTTTTTTTATTTATTCATGGGATGAGGATGTTGCTGGCTCGGCCAGCATTTATTGCCCAACCTTAATTTCCCAGAGGGCTGTTAAAAGTCAACCACATTGCTGTGGGTCTGGAATCACATGGGAGCCAGACCAGGTAGTTTCCCTCCCTAAATGACAGTAGTGAACCAGATGGGTTTTTTCCCCCCTGTTTCATTAGACTCTTAATTCCAGATTATTATTTTTTTTAAATGTTGAATTCAAGTTCCACTATCTGCTGTGGTAGGATTTGAACCCAGGTCCCCAGAACATTACCGGGGTCTCTGGATTAATAGTCCGGTGACAATACCACTAGGCCATCACCTCCCCAGTAAAAGAGAGTAGGAGGAGACGATTCAGCCCATCGAGCTTGCTGTACCATTGGAAACAATCACAACTGACCTTGCTGAAACTGCTGAAACTGAAACTGCATTTTCCCACTCACCCTCCATATCTCTTGGTTCCCTGAAACTCCAAAGATTTTATTCACTATTGCCTTAAATTGCCTTAAGTGAGCAAGTGAGCACCCCATCTCAATGGGGTAGAGAGTTCCAAAGACTGTCAACCCTTTTGATCAAGTAATTTCTCCTCGCCTCAGTTGACTGGCCCATTATCATGAGGCAGTGGTGTCTATATTACAAGAGAAACCATTTCTGTGTTGACCCTAGTAAGCCCCCTCAGAATCTTGTTTCAATGAGGACTGTTAATCTGTCTCTCCCTACAGAATAACCAAACTTCAGACATGATTGCCAAAATAATTTAAGTTTAAATTTTGTTAGCAATTGCTAACTTTTTCTGTTTAAGCCTGTTTAAATGGAGGTCTGGATGAACAGTTGGGCGCATTTGTTCTGTGGGTTGTAGTTTGGAGTTGTTGACCACGATTGGTTCGTCAAAAATAAGCACGTGTCAGTGATGCCAATCACCGATTTCACTCACTGATGCCCTTCTGGGCAGTAGGGGATTCTTGTGATGCGCTTGTAGTGTCCCTACCACTGAGCCAAGAGGCTTATGTTCAAGTCTCAATTTGACAAGACGTGAAGAACAATATTTTTGACCAAGTTGATAAGAAAACATCTGTAATAAACAACTCCATTGTTAAATTGATAATTGAGGGATTTTGTGGTGCAGTGGAAGTGACCCTACCTCTGGACCAGAAGGCCCGGGTTCAAGTGTCACCTGCTCCAGAGGTGTGTCATATTATCTCTGAACAGGTTGATTAGGAAAACTTCTCTCTCTGGGCAGTCTTACAAAATTGCACCATTTTTAAATCCTTCACTTGTTGGCCCCTTATAAGATGACGTGCCTCTGTGCCAGGCGATGAACTTCCTTCGGCCTGTACTGTCATCGACCCAAGCCCATGCCTTAGCCAAACTCTCTAGTTCCAGTCTTGTCCCCCCTTTTCCCTCATCGTGGATTCAATGATGATAATGCCATTGAAAAGATGCAAGGAACGACTAGAGAGATTGGGCTTATTCTCCTTGGAGCAGAGAAGATTATGAGATGTCCTTACTGAGGAGTTCAAAGTTAGGAACAATTTTGATAGCGTAAAGAAGAAAGTTCTGTTTCTACCAGTTGGTATATCGGTAACTAGGGGTTCACAATTTCAAGATTGTCAGCAAGAGAGCTAGGAGTGAGATGAGGGGAAAGTTCTTCACTTGGAGAGTTGTTAGGATTTGGAATGTACTGCCTGGGAGAGTGGTAGAGGAGGATTCCATAGGAGGTTTCAAAAGAGAGCTGGATATATATTTAAAAGTGGTGAAGTCAGAGAGCCACGGAGATAGGGCTGGAGAGTGGGTCTAGCTGGGCGTCTCTTTCAGGAGCCGGTACAGACACGATGGGTTGAATGGCCTCCTTCTCTCCTGTAACTTTCAGTGATTACATGATCGTTTCCGTGCCTGGGACCTTGATTTCAGAGAAGGGCCCAGGGCTGCTGTCTGCAAGGTCTGATGGGAGGAAGTGATGGGGTGGCCTATGCTGTGAAGAGTCAGCTGGGGAGGTCGGCCATCTTTACAGGAAGTGAGTGGGACAGCCCAGGGAATGGAGAATTCTGTCCAATGTATTTGGAAAACAGTTTGGAAAGTCTAAACACTGCATTGGAAGCAAACCGAGCAGGATTGGCACTGGTGTAACGTCAGGTGGACTGTACATATGAATGGCATTTTCTTTCTTCTAGGAAAAAATGAAGGGGAAGAACAAGTTAGTTCCACGACTCCTGGGCATTACCAAGGATTCAGTGATGCGCGTCGATGAAAAGACCAAAGAAGTGATGCAGGAATGGCCCCTCACAACCGTCAAACGCTGGGCAGCCTCTCCAAAGAGCTTCACTCTGGTAGGATACTGGAAATAGTTGTTCTCACCACCCGCAGTTTCTGAGCTGTTGGTCTCTGGGCCTGACCCGGCTTGTTTGCAGAAAGGTCACGAAAGCTGAGAAGCTCCTTGTGCTTTCGTTTTCCAGGCGAATGGCTGCGTTGCCTGATCCAGGAAACCCAGGAGATCCCAGACAGTTCGATTAGCTCCTGCAGACTGCCAAAGACCCAGGCTTTGGGTCCACAGCTCCTTTAAGCACTACGTACACCATGACAGCTGTGGAGTCTTCTTAGTGGTTTCTTCACTCCCCACTATCTGCAAGGGCCCCCGACATAGGTACAGGGCGACTGGGTGACCGTCCGTTGCTGAGAGCCTGAGGTGGGAGCAGGCCATTTGGCCATAGTGTCCACACCAGCCGTCTGAAGAGCATTCCACTCAGATCCACCCCCCACTTACCCTGTCCCTATAACCCTGCATTTCCCATATTTCCACAGCTTGCACATCCCTGGACAATACGGACAATTTAGCATGGCCAACCCAACAGCTTGGGACAATGTAAAGAACTAGGAACAAAAACAGAAGTTGCTGGAAAAGCTCAGCAGGTCTGACAGCGTCAGTGAAGAGAAAATCAGAGTTAACATTTCGGGTCCGGTGACCCCCCCTCTTCACAGATGCTGCCAGACCTGCTGAGCTTTTCCAGCAACTTCTGTCTTTGTTCCTGACTTACAGCAGTTCTTTTGGTTTTTATTTTGTAAACAATTAGGAAGCAGCTAACGTCTGGGCTGAATGTCCTCTGGAGTACATTTTTCACGAGGCACTTGGTGTAAGTAGTCACAGAATTCTGTCTTCCTCTGTAGGATTTTGGAGAATACCAGGAAAGCTACTATTCTGTTCAGACGACAGAGGGTGAACAGATCTCTCAGCTAATCGCTGGTTATATCGACATCATCCTCAAGAAGGTCAGTACACTTTTTCTAGGACAAATTGAAAACAAAAAGGCATGCTGCCAATTGAAGCTCATCATTCTAGTAACCCAACCTCCCACCGTTCTCACGTTCCTAAGCTTTCTGTCCTTGCCAACTATCAGCCAAACGCCTATCTCTCTTTCTAATGTCCATTTAATTCCTCTACACCCTGTGGCCCCATGTTTGAGGCTCTCTGCTTAGTTCCTGCTCTGCCTTAGCTCTGAAACAGCCCAAATCCAAGTTTGATTCCTTGTTGCTTTTGCCTTTGCTCAGCTTTTTAAACAGTTCACCAGTCCATCATCCTCCTCTGGTCCACGGCAGGACGTTGCCCTCTCTCTCCCACTCTTGCCTGTCTCTAAACAGCTGTCTTGCCACAGAAAAATGTCTTCCCCAGTTTTCTGAGTGTTGTCCAGTTGCTCGGTTCCAGAACTCAGCAATTCCTTTGCAACAGTTATAATTGCAATTTTGGAATGTTTTAAACCACTAAGAAAAATTTACTGTGACTGATTAGTTTAAATTATTACTCTTCTGGGCCAGAGCAGTTGATTGGTATTGCTTTAATTATTATCAGTTTGTTAAACTGCCATTGGTAATTGGCAACTAAATCGTCTGTGCTTACTTTAATGGGTAAATAATGAGCAAAATTCAGCAGGATTATCACACAACACCAAAACAGACCCTTCGGTCCAACCAGTCCACTCCGACCATATTCCCAAACTAAACTAGTCCCACCTACCTGCACTTTGCTCACATCCCTCTGAACATTTCTTATTCATGTACTTATCCAAATGTCTTTTCAACATTGTAACTGTACCCGCACCCACCACTTTCTCTGGAAGCTCATTCCACACACGAACTAAAAAAGTTGCCCCTCAAGTCTTTTTTAAATCTTTCTCCTCTCACCTTAAAAATAAGCCTCCTATTTTAGAAATCCCCCACCTTAGGGAAAAGACATATGCCATTCACCTTATCTATACCCCTCATGATGTTATAAACCTCTCTAAGGTTACCCCTCAACCTCCTAATCTCCAGCGGAAAAAAATCCAGGCCTTTCCTTATAGCTGAAACCCTCAACGTTTTCAAAGACAAGGACTAGATGCTGTTGTGTAAAGACCAGTTGGTTGTGGGTTGTGTTATTAAATGACTATTTAAGATTGGGGTTGATAGATTGTTGAAGGGGAGGGATGTGTTTTACAGAGACAGGGAAATGGAGCTGATGGGATTGGGATTGTGGCTCACGTTTGAGACCAACACCAATATCGATTGGTTGGGTTGAAAGAGCCTGTTTCTTGGTTGTATTTTCTGTATAATTATGTGAGATTCCCAGAGAAGTCTCCAGATTCTTTGGTTAATCATAGTGAGAGTGATAACGGTGTGTGTTTGTGATGTCTCTTACACTTCCTCCTTCCTGTCCCATTGTAGAAGCAGAGTAAGGATCGATTTGGACTGGAAGGAGATGAAGAGTCAACGATGCTGGAAGAATCGGTTTCTCCAAAAAAGTAAAGAATCAGAACTATTAAACTGTAATTATTCTTGCATCGCTCCTGGCCAGAAAATACAGAAACCTTCCTACTAATTTCCAGAATACACTGAGATCTGAAATGTTAAGTGAGAGAACGAGCATATTTCCCTCGTTACAAAATCTTCATGCGATTTGACTTTTCAAAACCGATTGTTTGCTTCAAACTAAATTGTGAGCTCCGTTTTGGGCAGGTGGGGAGAGCGGAGGGGGGTCAGCTCTGAGTCAGAATGTGGTGGGTTCGAGTCTCACTCCAGGATTTGAGCTTGTCATCGTCAAGCAGACACCTCCCTGAGGGAGTGTGATGTCTTGTTGAGGGGGAGGCTCCTCAGAGAGTTTCCCCGTCTTTTCCTCCCGCGGTGGATGTGAGAGGTCTCCTGGCCCTGTTTACAAGATGTGTGGCCATCCCTCGTGTCCCGGTCTATGGTTATCTCCCTATCCAACGTCACTAGTAACTGGTTATTGTCGCGTCACTGTTCGTTGGGAGCTTTCTGTTTGCAAATTGGCTGCCGCGTTTCTTGCAGCGACTGCGTGTTGAACGTTCCAGGATATCCCGAGGTGGCAAAAGGCTCCATGTAAATTCAGAGTCTTTCACTCTGACAGCGGTTGAAATCCCCCCACCACCTCCTCCCACCCTCACTTCCCCAGCGACTAACTCCGCTCTCTCCTGGGCTGCTCTCCGCAGATCCACCATATTGCAGCAGCAGTTTAATAAGACGGGGAAGATCGAGCATGCGTCCGTGGCGCTGCCTGCTGTGATGAGGCCGGGCGCCGGTGGGCCAGAGAGCTTCAACACGGGCACGATGCCAGTTCCGCAGCAACAGATCCTGAGTGGGCAAATGCACCGGGGCCACATGCCCCCACTGGTAGGAACCTGGAATTACATTTCAATCCGGTACTCCGTAAGAACTCACTTCACAGTTTGTCGTCGAGTCACAATGCATTAACAATAAAGTATATTTATTGCACTCATTCCTTTGGAAACTCTTTACTTTGCCTTTCGGATTCAGTCTCTTTATCGTTTATTTTTAATAAGTTAAAGGTTGTGCATATTTGTTTTAGAATAATTTCACTGTCGATTCAGGCACTGATATACATTGATTAATATGCATCTTTTATTTTTGGAAGAAATGTATTACTTGATCCTAACTGGCTTTGCTAATTTGCTCTGCATAACAGACGTCAGCACAGCAAGCATTAATGGGAACCATTAACTCCAGTATACAGGCGGTTCAACACGCTCAGTCTGACCTGACTGAGATAGATAATTTACCCCCACTCGGGCAGGACATGGTGAGTCTGATTGCTCCTGCTTCTTGTCCCTCCTTGTTTCAAATGATAATTGTACCCTTCAATTTATTCTCATGTAGGAAGGCACTGGGCCCGATTTTATTTATTGTTTAACGTACTCTTGATGGAATGAGTTATTGAGCACACTTTTGTCCATTAGCGGGGACTCTCTTCACTTGTGGGTCGAGACGGTGGCATTGCGATAATATTGCCCGTGTCTCAGGTTAATGTTCTGGGGACATGGGTTCAAATCCTGCCATGGCAGATTGTGAAATTCAAATTCAGTAAAAATTTGGAATTTAAAAAGGAAAGCGAGCCTAATGGCAACCGTATAACGACAGTCAGTTGCTGTTAAAAACCCACCACGTCTTTTTAGGGGAAGGAAACTGCCATCCTTACCTGGTCTGGTCTACACGTGACTCCAGACCCACAGCAATGTGTTTGACTCTTAACTGCCCTGTGCAGTGTCCTGGCAAGTAATTGAGTTCACGGGGATATTAGAACTTAAATTTGAATTAGTTTTTTTGTCAAACTTACTGAAATGATTAGAGTGAAAAGTTGACAAGTTGCCACTTACGGCGCCATCTTGGGTGTAAAGGTACAGATTCTTAAGTGGAAATTCTTAGGGAAAGATATTTAGCAAAAAAATCTCAAATTTACCAATCCTGACTAAAACCCCGTACACTGGATAAAGTGAATTTGTAGCCCTTCCTGATGTGAGACTGATCTTGTAGTTCTCTCTCCCAGTTGACAAAGCCAAGGCTTTCAGCTTGAATTCAGGTCATTCAGGATATGAAGCTCAGGAGAGAAATGCGAAGGGGACTTGTTTAATGGCTCTTGGACAAGGAGATATTGCACTCTGACAGCTCCTGTCCTGCTCGTCCGTCCCATTTAATATCCCACTCATCTTGTTCCCAATAGCCCATTGGGAAGATAACGTCATTTGCACTGACTGTCGAAATGGATTGGATGGAATGCAGTGTTGTGTTTTTTTATAGATAAAGATGTACAGCACAGAAACAGATCCTTTGATCCAACTCGTCCATGCCGACCAGATATTCTAAATTAATCTAGTCACATTTGCCAGCATTTGGCCCATATCCCTCTAAACCCTTCCTGCTCATGTACCCATCCAAATGCCTCTTAAATGTTGTAATTGTACCGACCTCCACCACTTCCTCTGGCAGCTCGTTCCATACATGCACCACCCTCTGCGTGAAAAAGTTACTCCTCAGGTCCGTTTTAAATCTTGCCTCTGTCAAAGCTATTCCACATAATAGGTCTCCATGAGAGGTCTGAGAGCTGGCAGAGCAGTATATATTTGTTTTTAAAGGCAGCCATGAGTTATCAGATATGACTGGGAATGGGATTTTATTTATTCATTTACAGAACATAGGCATTGCTGGCTAGGCAGCATTTATTGACCATCCCTAATTGCCCAGAGGGCAGTTAAGATTCAACCACATTGCTTCGGGTCTGGAGTCACATGTAGGCCAGACCAGATAAGGATGGCAGTTTCCTTCCTAAAGGACATTAGTGATCCAGTTGGGTTTTTCCAACAATCGACAATGGATTCACGGTCATCGTCAGACTCTTAATTTGAGATAATTATCGAATTCAAACTCCACCAGCTGCCGTGGTGGGATTCGAACCCGGGGTCAGAATGGGTTGAACAGCAGCAAATGTCTTGTGGGTGTTCCCTGCCGTAGATGGCAGTTACTCTGGGATTGGAGCCATTTGCATCCTGACTACATTGCTGCTGCTTTCCTCCATCCCTCAGGCATCCAAGGTGTGGGTCCAGAACAAGGTGGATGAATCGAAGCACGAAATCCACTCGCAGGTTGATGCGATCACAGCAGGGACGGCCTCCGTGGTCAACCTCACGGCTGGTAAGCCCTTGCTATTCTGAGCGCCGAAACCGCGAGTTTAAACCAGTGAAAGCAGCTCCCTGTTGAGTGGCAACAAAGGTAGAAGTTGCTGGAAAAGCTCAGTGGATCTGGCAGCATCTGTGAAGAAAAAGAAAATCACCCCCGGGGGTGACCCTCCCGGTTCTCTGCTATCTGTACCAGCCCACTTGCTACCTCCTGCTGTCTTTGTCCCACCAAGTGATGGAGAATGAAACCTGGCGCATTAGAACATAGAACAGTACAGGCCCTTCGGCCCACGACGTTGTGCCGACCTATTATCCTACTAAGATCAATCTACCCTGCATGCCCTACACTTTACTATCCTCCATGTGCCTATCCAAGAGTTGCTTAGAAGTCTCTGAAGTATCTGACACATTGAATATAGATATCATCGGGCCCAGACGACTTATCCACCTTAATGCCGTAGCACATTCGCATGCTCCACACAAATCTCAATGTCCTCCATATCCTTCTCCTGGGTAAATACCGATACAAAGCACTCATTTAGGTTCTTGCCCACATTCTCTGCCTCCAAGCATAAGTCCCCTCCTTTTATCCCTGAGTGTTCCTACCTTCTCCCTCATTATCCTCTTGTTTTTAATGTACCTATAGAATGCCTTGGGATTCTCTTTAACCCTACTTGCCAAGGTCATTTCATGGCCGCTTCTTGCTTTCCTAGTTCCCTGCTCGAGTTCCTTCCTACTTTCCTTGTATTCCTCACAGGCCCTGTCTGATTTTAGCTTCCTAAATGCCTCTTTTTTTTGCCTTTTGACTAAATTCTCAACCTCCCTCGTTATCCAAGGGTCCAGTTGGTGCATTTGGAGACCCGCGTTCCTATTTCGCTGGCTTTGAACTGATTTGCCAATCACTGACATCCAGCTCTCCCCCTCAGGCAGTGGTCAGTATTTCTACCATCCAGACGTCTGCTAAAGCTGAAAGAAGACCCAGGGAGGCAAGAAGACACACTGAAAAGTGAAGATTTGTGTCTTTCACCAAAAGCCTTATTTGAAGATTGGTGTGCAAGATAGAATATTAAACCCCGAAATGGCCAAATATTTATTTACTTACAGGACGCTATACACTGTACTTCAGCTTAAAACAAAGACATCACAGAGTGTCACCCATTCCAGTTTAAAGCCATCTGTAGGGCAGAGTGTAATCAATAATTCCAAGGAAAAATGTGACATTGATGTATGAAAGTGGCATGTGTTTTGTTCTTACACAGGCAGGAAATTAGTGTGACAGGGAGTGGGGGGCTAGTGTGACAGGGAGGGGTGGGTCTATTATGATGGGGGCTAGTGTGATGGGGTCTAGTGTGACGGGGGCTGGTATGACAGGAAGTGGGGGGGCTAGTGT